GATATCAACTGAGAAGTGGAATTTCTTGGTCTGTTTTGTTGGACTGTTTGGGTTATCTCCAGGCTATTGGCCAAAGTACCTGCATTGCAGTACAGCAAAGCATTCAATAGTTCCATTTTCTCCACATCTTCATCAACACTGGTTGTTATCAGACTTTTTGAGTATAGCCTCTTAATGGTGATTTTTTTAAAAAGATTTATTTGTTTTTATTGAAAGTCAGATTTACAGAGAGAAGGAGACACAGAAAGATCCTCTGTCCCAGTGGCCAGAGCTGAGCCAATCTGAAGCCAGCAGACAGAAGCTTCTTCCAGGTCTCCCATGTGGATGTAGGATCCCAAGTCTTTGGGCCATTCTGTACTGCTTTCCTAGGCCACAGGTAGGGAGCTAGAAGGGAAGTGGAGCAGCCGGGATGCAGAATGATGCCAACATGGAATCCTGGCATGTGCAAGGCAAGGACTTTAGCCACTAGACTACTGTACTGAGTCCGGCTTTTTTTTTTTTTTTTTTAACAGTATTGTTTTGCATTTCCCTGGTGGCTAGTGACATGGGGCATCTTTTCATGTGGTTATTGGTAATTTGCGTTTCTTCTTTAGAGGAGTGTTTTTTAAATTCATTGTCCATTCTGAGATTGGCTTTTGTTGCTGCTGTTGTGAATTGTGTGGGTTCTATGTATTTTCTAGAGAAAAACCTCTTGCCAGATGTATAATTTGCAAATCCCTCCCATTCTGTGTATTTTTCCCACTTTCTTAGTGTCTTTTAAAGCATCCCATTATTCTTTAATTTTAAAGTTTTTAACTTCTAAAGTTTACAAGTCATACTTGCATATAATGAAAATATAATAATTTTGATAAAAATAAAAGGAATAAATATCCCAAAGATAAAAATAAAAGTAAAACATTGATAATATCAACTCTTAGATATAATTGTTATAAATGGGTTTAATCTTTTTATTAAAATGAGACACATTCTTTACTTTTTAATCTTTTGTAAATATCATCTGTTTTGCATACTTACATCAATAAATGAAATTCTATAGTGTCACTTTTTATATTGCATAGCATTTGATCACATGAATATACAATTTGCCCAGACAGTTTCTTACAGTTGAGGGCCTCAATTGTTTCTGATATTTTTAGTATTTTAAAAGAAGTTGAGTATTTAAATAAATGCATGATTACTTTTTTGGGATAGATTTCTAGAATAGATTTGCTGGGTCAAAGTGTAGACACGCTTTTAAGACTATGGAAGCTTGTGACTGATTTACATTCTAGAAAGATTGTGGCCAGCTCACTCCTGCCTGTAGTTTGTGGAATGTTGGTCTTTGGTTCAGAAGCTAACCTGGTCCACATGATAAATATCAGCGTGCAATGATTAGTAATTGTTTAAAAAAAAATCCATATTGCCGGGTGCTATTTTGAGCACTTTATATGTATTCACTATTTATTCCTCCAAGTAACTCTATCAAATTGGGATGATTGTGTTTCCATTTTACAGGTTAGCTAGTTGAGGCATAGAGGAGCAATCCATGTAACTGCTGAAGATGTCATGGCTTAAGGTGGCAGAATTTGAGTGCTGGCATTCTGGCTCTTGATGGTTGGCTCCTTATAACTTAGGCTTAGGGTTTCTTTGTCTCTGGATCATGTGAACATGTTCAGGACAGGCAGCTAAGGGACACGGTCCTGGAAGGGGGAAAGCCTGGTGCTATTCAGTGCAATGCTGGCCATGGTGTTCAGAAGTTCTTTCTAATGCTACAACAACTTCCTGTGATTCTTCATTCACTGCACATTTCCTTTGGACAAATGATATGTCCCACCTCTCCCTCCACTACATTTTTTGTTTTTATTTTTGCTTTGCGTCTTATAAATCAGGATTTGGAAAGCCCTTTTGCAGAGCCAGATAGTAAGTGTTTTGGGCTTGGAGGGCACCAGTGTCTGTCGCAGTAACTCTATTCTGATGTCAGTGCTGAAAAGCAGCCATGAACAAAAGTGGTGTTTAAATGATAAGGCTGCTTGGCCAGCCAGTGGGCTGGAGTTCTCCAGCCTCTGTTGTGGATGACCTCGTGGGTTTTCTGTCTTTGCTGGTTGATTTTGAGCCACTCTTGCTTTCTGGAAAAACTCAGCTTGCTCATGCCCCATCTAGTGAGCAGTGTATTAGTTAATATTTTATTTAGGATTTTTAGATCAAGACGTAATTTGTGTGTATGTATGTGTGTCCTTCTTTGGCTTTGTTTCCTAAAATACATGGGGAGCATTTCAGCTTTTTCTGTGCTGTGGAATGAAGGATAATTTTGTGTTTGAAAAGACTGATATAACTTACCCCCTGTCTTGTCTTGATATCTTTTTTGGAAGTTGTTTTTTGAAATTTCTTCCACTGTTCTTCAGGGATATTGGTCACTTCATGTTATCTACATTTTGCTTAGTTTTATCAGTGTATGCTTTCTAGAAAATCACTTTCCTCATCTTGATTTTCTAACATTTATTCATTTCTATCTAATAGATATTAGCATAGAATATTGTTAAAATGTTTATTAATATTTTTATTCTCCATTACATATTTTGTTCTTAATCTGTCACAGTCCTCATATTATAACTACTTCTAAAAATTTGGTGCTAGCATTGTAGTAGACGGGTTCAACTGCCACTTGCAACTCTGTTGTGCCTCACAGGGGGTTGGTTTGTGTTGCTCCACTTCCTATCCAGCTCCCTGGGAATGGCCTGGGAGCAGCAGATGATGGGACCTTGCACCAGGATGAAACTCTTAGCTCCTGTCTCAGCCTGGCCCAGCCTTGGCCGTTGTGGCCGTTTGGAAAGTGAACCAGCAGTTAGGAGAGCTCTTCCTCTCTCTGTCTCTCCCTTTACCTTTTTCTCTGTAACTTTCAAATAAATAGAATAAATTTGCACTTTTTATAAACCAGATTTGACAAATGTTTTTGTGATCTTAAAAGCTTGCTCTGGGATTAAAGTATCTATTGTATTAGTCTTTAAAATATGTGAATTTTTTGCAACTCTTTGATTTTTCTGTTCTTTGCAATTTCTGGGATTATCAGGTTACTTATTTTCATTCATTTTTTTACAAAAGTGAGAGCATTTAAGGCTGACTATTCCTTTGGTACAGTAATGACTATAACTTACATGCTTTTTGGGGTATCTGCCTCTCCTGGTTGGCATTTTCTTGGTGCCTGTAATTTCAGTTTTGGTTTTTACTTTGTTCTAGAAAAGTAATAAGAGTTTGCTTCTAAATTTCCAGAAGATAGGGATATTAAAATTTCCTGTTGATTTCTAGTTTTGCTGCGGTATAGTCAGAGAATGGGGCTGATAGTGATTTTGTTTCTGGAACTTTACTGAGATTCTTTTTGTGGACCTTTATTTTTCTCAGTGCTCCAAAGGTGTGGGAGAAGAAGGTATATTCTCTGCTTTCAGCTTCTGTCATGCTTGTCTTCGTAGTTGTCACAGTTAATGGTGGTATTTACATCTCCTCTCTCCCATTGCTTTTTAAAAATGATTACTTGGTTCTTCAAGACTGAGGGGAGTAGAATACCTTTTTACCAATTCTTGTGTGTCTGTCTTTGCTTTGTCCCAAATGCACTAGCTGTGTTTGTGCCCGCCTCAGAGCCCCAGTCAAAAACTCCAAACTTCAGCAAAAATAAAATTAACATTGAGGAGGAGTTACACTGAATTCCATTCTATCCACTTCTATGCAGGTGTACATCTTGCCTGTGTGTATGTGTGTATCTTATGTGAGTTTCAACATACAATCTCTTGGGCATGGGTATGTGAATATCCTCCTCTCAGTGTCAGTCATTGTGTGAGTCTGGCATGAGTTTCTGTACATGTGTGCTCGACCATAGCATCGTTGTCTTAAAACTAGATTTCTAATGTCAGTGCCAGGACTGGCCTTGCTCTAAGCTGGCTCTTTCTGGTATGGTTGTTTATGAGTGTGGAAACTGCTTGCCTGCCCCTTAACCTTCTGAACCTTTCTTCTTTTCTCTGGGCTGCAGAAGACCTTCCTGGTAAGTGGGTCAGATGGCGACTGCCCTTTCATTTGCTGCTCTGTATCTGGGGATAAGTGGAGACTCAGAGATCCTCATCCTGCCCTTTGCTTGGTGCCCCATTCACATTTCTTGGGTCTGGCTGAAGCTTGTGTCTGTCCTTCACCTGTGGGAATTGGAACTCATGCTGACTGAACAGGGCCAGCAAGCATTGTTAGGAATGAAACAAGAGGAGTCTAGTTCATTTTACAGAATTGATGCGACTCCTGGGAGGCGCTATCTCTGTCTCTCACCCAGAGGTGGGCAAATTCAGAAGGGACCATCTGCCACACTGTGTATTCCACTTAAGCAGAGGAGCTGTGATGGGAGGTACACAGAACTGCTTCCCAGCCTTGGGTGGGTTTGAGGACAGGCATGAGAGGGGTGACCTCCTATGTTGTCACAAGCGATCTTTTTCTCTCTACATGGCAGAATCTTTGAATAAAGGGTATTGGGAGTCTGTGGGTTTTGGGGGGGGGCTCTGCCTCGACTGCCCTTGGGGCAAGTTGAGCCCTGATTTCTGGTGCTTCTTTTCTACCTGACAGGGTAGCAGATCTAGGTGACTGGGTCAAGACATCCCTGGATCTACCCGCATTTTATTCATTAACATCCACAGTATTGATATTTCCACACCCCACAGTTACCCTGATATCCTCTGGTTTTAGCCTCAGGGTGCTCCTACAGTACAGAGAGTACCATGATGATGATGATGTCCACATTACAGAATGAAAGAAGGAGGTCTGAGAATTTAAACACAACAAACTATGGCAGAAACTGTGCCTCCCAGTGCCCAGTGCTGACAAACTTCCTTGCAGCACTGCAGCCCTTGCTGCTGGGGAGGAGCAGATGTCAGCTCCCCACTCCCCTAGTGGGAAAACCTTGGAGTCCAGGCTGGCCAGTGGCCTTGGGGACTTAATCAGAATGGCCTTGCTTGGCAACATGTTTCTTAAATGGTCTGCATCTGTCCACTCAGGAAGAAGAGTTCATCGATTGGTGGAGCAAATTCTTTGCCTCTATAGGGGAGAGAGAGAAGTGTGGTTCCTACTTGGACAAGGATTTTGACACGCTAAAGGTGAGGTATCCTCTCCAGAACAGTTTCCATTTGGGCCAGTGGTCACTGCACACATATGATGCACTCTGGGAGACACTCTGAAGAGGGAGCATGTCTGTATCTGTGTATGCTCATGTGTGGAGGTGGTGTGTTCATGTGTTGTATGTAGATAATGCTATGCTCCTGTGTATGTAGTACATTCACATGTAAGCATGGTCTGCTTGTGTGTTACGTATATATGGGATACTCTTATATAAACATAATGTGCTTGTTGTTATACATATATAAGGCTATATTCTTGTGTATATATCTGTATCATATAGTCATATATTTATAATATATATATTTAGGACACTGATGTGTATATGTGTATAATGTATACTCATGTATATATAAGCATTGTACACTTGTGTATATATGTATACTATAAATATATCTGTGCTATACTCATGTGTATGTTATATGCATGTATGATATTGTATATATGCTATAGTCATATCTATATGGTATACTCATATTTAGTGCATGCATCCATATATGTGTGGTATACTTATGTTTATGTATATAAATATATTTAAACATATACATGTGTATTTGTGTGTGTGTGTATACACATATACACATACATACACATCTCATCTGGTACCCAAGGTAATGAATTTCAGTGATCCTAACAGGTATGAGAAAATTTATCCATAAATTTAGACCAAGAGATTGGTAAGTATTTCTGGAAATTGATAAACAAATTCTGAAATGATGCCTGGGATTAAAATCTCCCCTCCCCTTCCAATGTCCTCTCTGCTCCCTAAACAAGTAAGCAGGAGGACAGATGGTGTGAGTAACCCTCTGACAGATTTTCAAATGATTCAAAACTATTAAAGCTGCAAAGCAGAGGAAGTTGCTGAAGCTTGGAGACAGGTGCTTGGAGATTTGTTCTACTGCTCTCTCTTAGAGTTGTTTGAAGTTTCCTGTACTAGAAAATTTATATTAAAAAAAAAAAAACATTTGAGAATGCTCCTCTGACCTGTGCCCTGACCCCCACCCTGCACTGTTTTCTAACACTGGAGCAGAAATTATCTAGTGAATATAAAAATTTGGAAAAAAGTCAGAATTCAGGCAGCCGGATTTTGATATTTTGAGGAAATTGCACAGTCTAGCAAACTTCTTGAGTGTGGATTAAATGTAAGCAACAATAAAAAAAAAAAGACAGCTTTAAGTGCTCAAAAATTATTTCCAGTGTGTTATATAATCTCTAGGATAGGTTGTCAGACACAATTTAGTGTGCACAACTATACTGGATCTCAGTTAAATAATGAACACTCTTTTGATAGATGCATACTTCTACTCTTATATAGAACATACCTATCTAAAACTTCTCACTTAGCTGAACTTCAAATACAAGGATGCTTCAGAGGCTCGTGGAGAACTGAAATGGAAAACTAAGTTTATTTGGATGCAGGTGCTTTTTGAGATCTATGTGCAGTTTTTCATAGTAGACAGTTCTGTGAAATGTTGAAGACTCCCTGTATAATTTAATGCTCTGCGTTTTTGCCTGCTGTTTCTGGAATGGAAATGGAGGGAGATTCTGTATCCCACTGTTAGTATGCCGGGACATGGAGAAGGGACAAGAGGTGAGCATAACGGTTGAGACTTTGGAGTAAGTGGTGAGGCAAGCTGTACCTGAGCTTTTGCTGAGGGTTGCTGGCCAAGAGCCCTTCCGGGCTATACAGGGTGGCCTCACCAGGTGGCCAGTGTTGTCTCTGAGGTATTGGGGGCTGTCTGGTGCATTGTTCCTGGGCATCTGGCTGCCCAGAGGTGAGGCCACAGGCTGCAGGGGCAGTTCTTTGGGCAGTGAGTTCTTTATTGCCTTGGTAGTTCAGTGTATGAGGTTGGGCACAGAGACAGAACTATTTGCGTACCAGGAAGAAGGTCCGACACATTAGGTCTGACTTGTGGTCCTGTGGCCTTGCCAAAAATATGAGACCAACCAAATATGAATGAGAATTCCTGCCAAGATGGTCCCAGAGCCCAACCTTTTCTGCCGCCTCAGATGCCAGATGCTTGGTTGGCACTCAGCCCTCCAGTCTGACCTCTCTCAGGAGGTCTCTGACTGTGTTCAAGTGTGGGACATATTCCCAAGTGTGGGAATGTATCTGCAGAGCATACATTTAAACTAGCTCTTGGGAAGAAACGAGGCCTGGAAAGGCCATTGACTGTTGTAGGGTTAGTAAGTAGAACACCATCACCATCAACAACGTGGGTCTTGGAAAGGCAGACAGCAGCATTCGTGGGGAGACTAAGGCACAGAGTGAGTACAGTAGAAAACACATTTTGGAAGCTGTGGGTGTGGAGGAACAACAACTCAGAATCTAAACAGCGAAGTATGGGAAACTTGATATTACAAGAGAGCATTAAACACAGGAAGCATAGGGAAAAAATGTAATGGAAAAGGAACAAAGCATTTGCTTTCCTAATAAATAAAAATGGGTTAAACTTCTCTGTTAAATGATAAGGACTCTTAGATGACCTCAAAAGCCAGCATTGAGCTGGTCATCTTGAGCTGAAAAGGTACATCTAGAACAATACAGCTTAGAATGGCTTAAGAAAAAAAAAAAGGATACTTTGCGAACAAATTACATACAAACAAAAATGATAAAATTTAGCATTAGAAGCAAAGAAAACAAAATAAGAATATTTGATTTAAATGAAAGCTATCCATACATGTTAAAGCTTAGACACTCTTAAGCTAAAATGGAGAGAAATGTATAAAGCAATGCCTCATACCATAAATAAGTAAAAGCACAACATGACCAAAGTTTAGTAACAGTTGCAGAGATTATTTTAATGCAGATTTCTCCTTGGGCAAGTAAGCAGGTGATAAATAAATACGAAAATAAAAGATATAAATAATGAGTGGTAAATGTTTCTATAAGCCACATCAAGTTAAAGTTACAGCTTTACTTAAAGCTAAAATTATAGATTTAAAATACAGAATTAAAATTAAAAAGAGAATGCTTTTATTCCTAGTGCTCAGAAAACACTTTCAAAATTTGATCACATATTAGTTTAGTAATGTTACCAAAATCAGAACTCATACAAGCCAGATTAAAAAACGCAATAAAATGAGAAATTAATAACAAAAGTTTAAACAAAATGTCCAACCACTTGGAAATTATAACGTATTTTATTGGGACTTCCAGTATGAACATGGTTGCATAAGTCAGCATTTTTCTCCTTTTCTCTTGGAAATTATTCAAACCCACAAAATTCATTTTTTAGAAAACTTGGAAACAAATGGAAGCCACAGACTCCAAAATATATGTAAGGACTGCCCAGAGATGGCTGGGACTGGGTAGAGGCCATTCGGCAGTAAATGGAGAGAAGATGCATAAGAAAAACAGAAGGCCATTGAGGTAGTGGATTTCATGGAAACGAGCTGGACTACCATGCTGAGCCCAATATATGACTCGCTTAAAATGAAAGAGGTAAAAGCTAAGCCTCTCAGAAGAGCTAGAACTTGAACTAGGTCTAAATGAGAAGTAATATTACAAAGGTGAGAAAGAGAAACTTCCCTGAGTATCTCATCTATTAGTTTCAGCTCGAATTTAGCATGCATAATAGGTTATTTATTAAGAATATTTATTAGTACCTTGGTTATCTAAAATTTTTTTAAAAACCTAGGTTTATTTAGGCCTAAGCAATTTCCAAACATATCCAAATAAGCAACATTTATTGGCTGTTTGAGAGGAGAAAAAGTGTTGCTTAAAGCCTGTGCTAGAACTGATATTTGATACCGTCACCATTGGACATACTGAACAGTGAGCATTTTTGTCTGGAATGCTGATCTGTTAATTTTCCAAAGTGGTGTCTCAATCTTTAAATAAAAAGTCATTCCTTTTGTTTGTGATCTTAGATCCTTATAAAAACGCAGATTCATGAATGTGAGAATTGTGATATGCAGGTCGTTTGACCAGAGAAGCCCATTTCTAATTGGAGCTGAACAAATGTCTTCTCTCCTGCTCCCTTGGCCTTGGGCCTCCTTTCCACCTCTGCTTTTGTTCTCATTTCTTCCTTTGCCACTGCTCCTTCTTGGCTCCCTGTCTTCCCGCTTGAACTCTCCAACCATTCTCCAACCCATTCCTCATCCTCCCATGTGGCAGGTCTATGACACCCAGCTGGAGAATGTGGAGGCCTTTGAGGGTTTGTCTGACTTCTGCAACACCTTTAAGCTGTACCGGGGCAAGACTCAGGAGGAGATGGAGGACCCATCTGTCATTGGGGAGTTTAAGGTAATTCCTTAAGGGCTCATCCCTAACCCAGGTGAGACTGAGGTGTCAGCAGTACATGAGGAAGGGAGAGATGTGGTGATTACACTTGGTGTCGAGGTGCTGCTGCTTGTGACCAGGTGACCAGGTGAGTGATGGAGATGCTGGTGACAGGATGGTGCTGGGCTGGGGATTCTCTGTGGTGACAACTGTAGTGGGGAGGAGTGTAATGATCATAATGGTGATTATTTTGGTGACAGTGATGACCAAAGTTAATCCCTTTTTCTTCTCAGGGCCTCTTCAAAATTTACCCCCTCCCAGAAGACCCGGCCATTCCTTTGCCTCCAAGACAGTTCCACCAGCTGGCTGTCCAGGGACCCCAGGAGTGCTTGGTCCGGGTCTACATTGTCCGTGCATTTGGACTGCAACCCAAGGACCCCAATGGGAAGGTAACGTTTCTAGAGTCCTCACTTTCAGCAGGAAAGTGGGTGTGGGTGCAGATTGCCTGTGGGATCTTGCAGCAAGCTGGGGAGATCAGACTGAAGTCCAAACTTAACATGGTACTGGATGGAGTTCCATCAAGACTGAGTGCTTCAGGAGGCCAGTGAAGGCTGATGCTGGTGGAGGACTTTGAATAAATGAAAGTTTTCAAAAGGGCTCTCAAGGATAGACAGAGTTTTGTTAGGCTTGAGGGGGAAGAAACAGCATTTTCAGAGAAGTTGAAGCATACGTAGTGTTTGAGAGAAGGCTACTTCCTTGATGAATAGAGCAAGGGTGGCTGTAAGGCTAAGTAATGGTGAAGGTTTAGGTAGGGACTGGACTTGTAGGGCTTTTGCTGGTGGATAGGAGAGAGGGAGGGGCAGGATTAGAAAGTCTGCTGTGCTCAGCCATGGTGGAGCCAAACAACAGGAAAATCCAGTAAGACTCATTCCATCTTTCTTCACAGCTCTGACATTTTGTTCATCATGGACCACTGGCATTGGTTTACATTTTTAAAATGTTTCATTGAAACACTGCCTTGATTACTGAGCTTTTTGATTCTTCCTTACATGTTGTGCTGAGGCCAGGGTCTCAGCTCTGTTTGCCTAGTTCTGGCCCAGAATTGGAAGAGGGGGCTTTGAAAGAAGGGAGGAGTATGCAGTTACCTGGGAAGTGGTGGGAGTGGAGGAGAAAAAGAAGAGGTGGGATGGGGGCTGTTGTTGTTTGGAGGTACCAAGTGAGGGCACTTTCTTTGTTTCTTTTTATTTAAGATTTATTTTATTTTTATTGGAAAGTCAGAAACACAGAGAGAAGGAGAGATAGAGAGAAAGATTTCCATCTATTGATTAACCCCCAAGTGGCCACAATGGCTGGAGCTGAACTGATTTGAAGCCAGGAGCCAGGAGCCTCTTCTGGGTCTCCCACGTGGGTGCAAGCTCCCAAGACTTGGGCCATCCTTGACTGCCTTCTGAGGCCACAACAGGGAGCTGGATGGGAAGTGGAACTGGTGCCTATATGGGATCCTGGTGCATGCAAAGCAAGGACTTTAGCCGCTAGGCTACCATGCCAAGCCCGAGGGCACTTTCTTTGCAGACATAGCATTTGCCCCCAAAGGGGTGGACAGAGGCTGGCAGTGACCCCTACAGTGCTGAATTTCAGAGTTAAATGGAGTGGTCCTCAGCCTAAGCCCCACTGGTGGCTTCCAAGAAGTGGGTGTGGCCAGTGTGTTGGTTCACATGGGTAGGTTTGTAACCCTTTGGTCTTCTCAGTGCCAGCCTAGCCCTTCTTCCTTTCCAGTCCCAGCTGCTCCTGGAAGCAGGTTGATAGTTCCCAGGAAGAATAGCAATAGGCAAGTTGAGTACAATCTGACTGTCTCTTTGCCTGTCCACTGGCAGCAATGTTTTAGAGGACTAGCCTAGCCTGCCACACATATAATACAGACTGGTGCTGCTGAGAGTAGAGGCCCGCCCCCACCCTCACTCTCATTCCCATTGCTGCAGCTGAGGGTAGAAGACCGTGCCAGGGATGATGTTGTGTGGTGCAGTGTCATACATAGGGCGAGGCTCCTGGCTGGCAGAACACAGAGCACATGACGGCGCCCTGCTGGCCTCCTCACCCTGTTGGGAACAGGGAACTGCATGATGGAGGACCCAAGGATGTGTTGGGAGAGTGGTTTCACTTACACATCTTCGTTTCCTTCCACAGTGTGATCCTTATGTCAAGATCTCCATAGGGAAGAAATCGGTGAGCGACCAGGACAACTACATCCCCTGCACCTTGGAGCCTGTATTTGGAAAGTAATTTGGAGACAGCTTGGGTCTTGGGAGGGAGGAGCCATGTGGACAGGCAACATGGTTCTCTCGGGGAGATGTGGCTGCTTCAGCCACTGCTCCTGGTGCGCTAAAGGTTTAAGTTAAACTCCAACATTTGCATCTAAGACCAGGAGTCTACATGGTAGCTCAGAGGAGGCAGTTGCTAATTTCTTTTCTTTTCTTTTTTTTTTTTTCCTGAACTTTTCTTTGGAATTACTTCGTGTTTACAGAAATGTTAGAGGCAGCACAGCTTTCACCCAATTTCCTCCATTGTTAGGATCTTACCTAACCACGGCACATTCGTTAAAATGAAGAATTTGGCAGTGGTATGTTACCGCTAATTAAGCTCCAGGCTTTCTGTTAGGATCTCAGCTTTCCCACTCACATCTTTCTACTGCCCTAGGATGCCGTCCAGGGAACTGCACTGCATTCAGTCATTGCTTTGCTATAGCTTCCCATGTGTGTTCACAGTGGATAGCTAAGAAAGAAGGTAGACGGAGATAGTAGAAGGATCATGAAGGTGAAAAACAGGGAAAGGAAGTCGCCCGGGGTAAGCTGGTGGCTGCTTCTCTGGCACTCACAGAACCACATCTGCTGTTGTGATATCATCAAAGAACAGAGAATTTATTACCAAGGTCTGTTGTGTTCCTTTTGGTCACTCTGACCTGAAGCCAGGGCCCACCATCCTGGCTGGGGATGGGCCACCACCAAGCTGGAGTTGTTGGAGGTAAATTGGTGGGTGACAGAGGGAACCTCTGTTCCGTGAGCATCAGGGGCTTGTGGGTGTGGGATGCAGGACCAGGTTTGACCCATAATGGGAGAGGATGTCAGAGCCAGGCAGAAGAGGGAATGAGTACAGAACCCTCTCCCCACCCTGAGCCTGTTTCCGTCACCCCAAACCATGGCCAGGCTGGTCTGCCTGGTGCTGTAAGTCTCCCGCTCATCACAGCTGAGACTGTCATTCTGCAGCCCATGGGTTGCACAAGCACAACTCATGAGACACACTCAAAACCTGACTTGTGGTCATGTGCCAGGACCTGCATGTGTGTTGAGGCAGGCAGACAGCTGTTCTGCTTGCTTTCCACTCAGCTGCCTTCAGTTGCAAAGCAAGATTCTCAGAGATGGAAGCCCAGAGCCCATCCACATGTAACTATGAGCAACTGGGCAACTACAGGAGAGAATTCTACTGGACAAAAGGTTGCCCAGCCAGGTCCTTTGTCACTGACCGTGTGGAGGGAAGGAGATGCTGCTTGTCCCCCATGCCCCACCTGGTTGGACACCAAGATCTGTGACTCCTGTTGTAGGGCCCAGGTTGAGGGAGTTCCTGCTGGAGAAGGAAGGGCCATCTCATGTGATGACTGCCCATCACCTAAGCACTCTCTGAATGTTGGATGCTTCAAGCCAGTTTGTCTTTTTGTGGGTACTTCCCAGAGATTCCCTTTGGAGGTCTTTCACTGCACCTCCTGTGCTGTGGGGACTGCTGCTTCCCCTTAGCTGGATATCCGGGCCCCTGGATCATGGGTGTTTCTCCCTATAGAATGGAGCTCATGGAGATCCCTTGGGCAGGAGCTGTGGCAGATGCCATTTGACTCACCATGGCCCCTCTCTTCCACATAAGACACGTGTGTTGTTTTCTGAACAGCTGTGAACCTGGAACCTCTTCTCCTCTTTGCCATAAGCCACATTGGCTATCTTGAGCACTAGGGTGTCACAGCAAATGCTTTCATTTAAATGTCTTGCTGAAGTTTCTTCTTTCTTGCTGTGGTGTATCAGGCAGGCACCCCCAGCCCAGTAGATAGGGAAATCTCAGGTAAATGTATGTACACACAGGCAAGTACACTCAGTCATGCTCAGCAAAGTTCAAGGCTCAAGTGCTGAGTGTGGGTGGATCGTTTGAAGGCCTCAGGACCCCTGAGGAGGGTGGACTCACTGTGATGGCTTTGGGCACCTGTCCTTGCCCTGCCCACCTCCTTTGCATCCCCACTGTGTCTGGGGACCTCAGGAGTGGCGGTTTGTGTGTGTGTGTGTGTGTGTGTGTCCCCTGACCGGTGCTCCTCCCGCAGGATGTTTGAGCTGACCTGCACCCTGCCCCTGGAGAAGGACCTGAAGATCACCCTGTATGACTATGACCTCCTCTCCAAGGATGAGAAGATTGGGGAGACGGTCATTGACCTGGAGAACAGGCTGCTGTCTAAGTTTGGGGCTCGCTGCGGCCTCCCACAGACCTACTGCATGTATGTGTGTGAACTGGCTGCTCTCATCTCCCGAGCACTTGTAGTGAGCCACTCTCCGACTCCATGGCAGGGTTTATTCCCACTCCACAGATGGGGTAACTGGGACTGTGAATCTGGCCGCTGCTTATGTAAAAACTGGTTATGATCCAACATCCTTTAATGCAACACTGAGGCCTGAGGAGGGTTGGGCCCCTACAGGGAGAGTAGGAAGGAAGAGAGACCTGGAGGAGGACACTTGGGCACTGTGTGATTCATCTAGGGTCTGTGTGGGTTAGAATCTCCCGTTTTGGAAATTGAAAACATCCCAGTTCAATTTTGCATGCCTTAGACAGGTCCTTTATCCCCAGGCCTCAGTTTCTTTGTCTATAAAATGAGAATACCTAGTCAGGACACACAACCCCCCATAAATGTGAAGGGTGGGTGAGGCCGTGCATGAGTCCCAGGACATTGCATGCCCTTGTGCTCCCACACAAGCATCCTTTGGAGTGTTTTCATCTTTGTCTTGTGCTTGGGCCTCAGCTCTGGACCAAACCAGTGGAGGGATCAGCTCCGCCCCTCCCAGCTCCTGCACCTCTTCTGCCAGCAGCACAGAGTCAAGGCCCCCGTGTACTGGACAGACCGTGTGGCATTTCAGGATAAGGAGTACACTCTGGAGGAGATAGGTGAGCTGGCACAAGGCCCCACACTGTGCTGGGCTCTTGCTCCCTGTTTTTCACAGGCCTACTTGTGTCACTGGGCCATGCAGACACACTTCATGTTGGCAAGCTTGTGATGGATCTTTTCTGACATGGTTCACGTAGGCTACACTTGCTTAACCGCCTTCTTCCTCTGGGGCCTCATTCCTGTTGTGATGGATGATGCGAGTCTAGAAAGTCTGTATTGATATGCACAGGCACACCTGAATTGCATGTACCCATGTGTGGGTTTGTGTGTGTGCGTACATGCCAATGAATACCCCCCTACATCCACAGACACTCAAAGCTTCTGACATAAGCTCTCCAAGTTCATATTGCTAAGCAGCCAGGCTTCTTAGGGTGGGGACCTCTCGAGATATTCCCAGCTGAGATCCATCCTGCCTTAAGGAGCTGTGCTGGGGAACGGAAGAGGGTGCCCATGTCTAGTTGGTTGCCTTTGCTAAGTGAGCATGGGGACCCCGTCTGTAAAGGGGAGAGTAGCAGCACTGAGCTTTCAGGGTCCTGAAGGTGATTAAGGTGTCAGTGGGTAGCTATGAGGCACAATGTCTGCATGTGGCCCCCACTCCACATTGTCATTGCTGTTTCAGCCACTGATGCTTGCAGGGCGACTTCCATGTGCCAGAGAGAGAGTGTGGCATTGAGATGCTAGTCCTAGGGCTCCCAGCTGGCAGCAGTTGGGGTGGGGGTGGGCTTACCTAGGCAAGAAGGACTGATGTTGGTGGAAAAGAGGAGGAAGAACTTTCCAGAAGAGGTGTAGTACCAGTGATGGCAGGGAGGAGTTTCTGGTTTTAAGCCAGGATCCTGTGGATAACAAGATTCCCTACAGAAAGCTAGATATGAGGATGAGTCAAGTGTGGCTGAGCTGGGAAGAGGCTGGGGAGTGGTGACCTTCCTGTGCCACTACCCTCCTCTTTGCCATGCAATACCATCATCTCTTACCTTGGCTTGGGTGACCTTTTGTTTCCTCTTTGGACAGAGGCTGGCAGACTCCCAAATCCCCACCTGGGCCCAGCACAGGAGCGTCTGGCCTTACACATCCTCCAGCAGCAGGGCCTGGTTCCAGAGCATGTGGAGACACGGCCCCTCTACAGCCCTCTGCAGCCGGACATTGAGCAGGTGGGATCCCGATTCCCTGGCTCCAGAGTCCCTGCACCCCAGGAAGACCCACCTAGAGGACAATGTAGAAGGCAGAAGGGTCAGCGGTGGCTTGTGGATCTGGCCGTCTCCACTGTGGCTTACTGTCAGAGGTGGAGTGGGCAGCACTGTGTATGTGGAAGAGGTCTACAGGGCCTGGCCACCCTGCTTATTGCCGGGACCTGGATGCAAGCCTGAGAACCTCCTGCACCCTCTTGTGGTCTGGGCTTCTGACTTCCCTGCACAGCTGGCTGAGATCTGGACTCAGGAGCTCCTTGCTCCATTATTATTGGTCAGCCTCAGCTGGCCAAGCCTGTGCTGGTCCAATGAGGCATTTCAGCTAGGGTGGCTGGGAGGAAATAGCCAGGGGACTCCAAGAGCCGCTGTCTGGGAGGGGCAGGAGAATCCTCCCCTGCAGAGAGAGCAAGTAAGCACAGGGATGGCAGCTTGAGAATGCTTCTTGGAGAAGGAGGGAACTAGGGTTGAGTTGAGGAGGAGAGATTTCAGTCCAATTGAAGGCTGGGGGGAACCGTGGAGATGTCAACAAGGGGCAGGGACCAATAGCCCTACTGTTTGAGCTGTGTGCTCCCTGCCCCATGTGACCTGATGCCCAGCCTCCCATGGCCCACGGCGTTGAAACTCCAGTTCTTTCATCCTCTAGATCTACTACTGTGCCATCTCTTCAGCATTCTACTCCTTCTTTAAGACAGGGATGAGGCTTATACTTGGCCTGCTGGGGTGGGTGCTGAGGCCAGAGGCCCATGGGACAGGGCAGTAACTTCTGCAGCTGGCCCTACAATTCCACATCTGGGGCTTCAGGATCCAGTTCTCTCTGTGCCAAGCCACTCGGCTAAGGCAGGTACTTGATAATAGCTGTTTGGATGAAGCGGGGAGAGAGGTAACACCATCCATGTTTCCACAGGGGAGGCTGCAGATGTGGATAGACCTGTTTCCCAAGGCTCTGGGACGGCCTGGACCTCCCTTCAACATCACCCCTCGGAGAGCCAAAAGGTGACCTCCCAGATACAGGCACTGAGCTGAGGTGGGGTGGCAGCTGTAGCCAGCTCTGGGTGGGGCCACGCTTTGGGCCAGTGTCTATGGGAGTCCAGGCAGCTATGGGCTGGTTAGATGTCCAGCTGGGAATGCATTACATGTCTTATTGGGTGAGCTGGCTACTTTGCTTTCTGTAGAGCCCCCACCTTTGGCAGATCTGAGCCGTGTGGTGATTTTTATGTTCCCCAGATTCTTCCTGCGTTGCATTATCTGGAACACCAAAGATGTGATCCTGGACGATTTCAGCATCACTGGGGAGAAGATGAGTGACATTTATGTGAAAGGGTAGGGGGCCATTGTCCCTGCACCCAGCCCTGCTTGTGGTGTCTTCCCTGCCCCTTGGGGCAAAGGCAGGGTGGGAGGAATGGAATACAGCCAGGCAACTGGGGATAAGGAAGAGGGAATGGCAGGCTCCAGAGGAGGCTTCCAGGGTGGTCCTTCCTTTAGGAGATCTCTCCTTGTCCACTCACCACGGGGTTGGGCTAACAGGAGTTTTGCAAGCCACTGGGCGCAGCCAAGTTGTCAAGATTCATGGGGCCATTTGAATCCTGAGGAGGGTTCAGAGGGCTGGGATTGCCACATGATTTCCCTGGCTTGTTTGGCTGGTTTGGGCATGTCCTAGGGTGGCAGTGGCCCTGAGCTGCAGTCTCTAAAACCCTGACTATGTAGCTGGATGGTCGGTTTCGAGGAGCACAAGCAGAAGACGGATGTGCACTACCGCTCGCTTGGCGGCGAGGGCAACTTCAACTGGAGGTTCATCTTCCCCTTTGACTATCTGCCGGCTGAGCAGGTCTGCACCATCGCTAAGAAGGTCAGTGGTGTCCTATAGCTAGGGACACCTATACCGGGGACTTCTGACATCAGCCAGCATGATTCAGCCCCCATGTAACCACCTGGCCATTGTCCAACAGGTCACTACTGTCCCACTACCATACAACATCATGCTAGTATTGCCACTATCCCCACTACTTGGCCCTATCTTTGTTGACACTCTCACTTTCCCATCCCCGTGGCCACTGTCATCATTGCTCCTCTGTTTTTCCTCTCTTCCTCATCTTTACAAACAGCAGCACTGTGGTCACTCAAGGTCCCCACAGGGCACAGCTGTCGTGTGCAGCTGAGTCCTCCATCACTGCCTTCAAAGCAAACAGCAGGGGAGGGTCCTGCTGTCTGAGTGGGAGGAGTGGGAGCCCTGGCCTGGCCAACAAAGGGGCATGGCAGATTTCCAAAGGGGTTGGACCTGTCCAAAAGTGGCTACACCTTGCTCTACCTCTTTTGTTATTTCTTTGGTGTCCATGGTCATCATCTCAGTTGGAAGTTACTGAGTGGTCCCCAGGCCCTCAAGGCCTGAAGCTGTTGTCCCCTTTTCAGTCTAGGCTGAAAGCGCCTGGGGAGGACTGTGGCATCAGCCAGTGGGTAGAGGTAGAATTAGGGACTTGAGTTGGTGTGTGATCATGTACTCTAGGCTGTTGGCTCATTTGTGAAGTGGGCAGAATAGATTCCAGAGCAGCAATTTGGGAAGACCAGGCCAAGCTGACTAGAGGTACAGGGCTTTGCTAGAACTCCTGAGCATCCACCTGGTGGGGCAGCCTTGTTCAAGGGAGCCAGTGACTCTCTAATGCTCAGGTTTGTCTTACAAGGTGGCTGACTCACAGCTTCAGATCTGGAGGTTTCTGTGCCTGTCCTCTTGCTCCTGGCTGGCTGAGTGGCTTAGATAGGGACGCACATGATGTCCTTGGGCTGCCTGGCTTTGCCTAACGCCTCAACTTGTCCTCTGCTTGACCTTCCCAGTCCTCCACTAGGGGTTCTGTGACACGCTCTGAACCCAGCAGGTGTAAAAACGCGATTCATACAAGATTCAACAGGTTCTCTCACCTTGCCGCTGAGGACCTGCCAGATGATGGGACTCAGTCAAGTGTTCGGTGAGGTCAGGGAGAACCAGCCTGTTTGTGGCTTTAGCCATGACTGCATTACTCGATGCCTCTGCCTGCCATGAGCCTGTTTCCAAAACAGAGCAACTGTTGCATCTACTGGAGAACTCCATGATGGGCAGGCGCTCCTTGTTGCTTCTACCGTGGGGGCCAGAAGTGGAGAAAGGAGGGCCAGCCATCTTGCAGGTGCTGCTAGTCGGGGGGCGGGGGTGGGCACTGAGTCCTGTATAGAATCAGGGCATGGGTGGGGAGGCAGCTGAGACATGCAGGTGAAGCTGGGACAGCCCTTCCTGGAGACAGGCAGGGAAGTGGCAAGAGGAGCTGTGTTTCTCTATGAGATACGTACAGCTAAAGCAGGTGACTGCAGATGAATGAAAAGGCTGAAAACAGAGAGGGAGGGGGGAAGGAAAGAGAGGGCAAAGGAGGGAGAAGGGCTCAGTGTCCGGCTGGTTGCTGATTAGGCATTTGGTGTGACTTCATTCTGGCCCTGGTAGGTTTTGTCTCTGGCCTGCAGGTCTTGGGTAGGCAGAGGATAGCAGAGCCGACTGGGCGCTGGGGGGTCGAGAGGCTTTGAGACTGGTTGATCTGACTGGGCATGGGGGAAGCAGAGAAGAGCATACCTGGGGTGGGGGCAGGAGAGGAGGTAGCAAGGAGGTGGTAGAGAAACAGCAAGAGCCCAGGTGGTTCTGGAGTGGGCTAGGAGGGTGGAGGGACTGGCGGACCGCTGTGTGGAGAAAGGATCCTGAGGAAGCAGGTGGAGCCGCGTGCACGACAAGGCACCAATTAGTTGGCCTGGGCTACAGGACCCAGTCTGGAGTGGGGTCAGTACGCTGCCTCTGGGCTCCCCAGACCTGCCACAGAACCAGCCTGCTGCCATGGGGCTCAGGGCCTCTGGCAGGCAGGCCCTCCAGGGACCCCATTAACCAGACGAGACTGTCGTAAAACACAAGGTCTCCTTTCATCCGGCTGCTTTGAACCATCACTGGTTGCCCTGGCCAGCTCCCCACCTGGAACCCAGCACACCCACTGGGGCCTGCCTGCGTGTCAGGCACCCACCCTGCAAATAAACAGCTAGTAAAAGGGCCCAGGCTGGGAGTGTAATGAGCGCCGGGGACCTGGGGGCTTGTTCCCCAGATTGGAGCCACGGTCCAGCTGCTCCCACCAGGGGCTGTTTGAACCTCTAGCTCATTACTGAACCCATAAACCAGGCTGGCCAGAGGAGCAGAGGCCGCTGGCGGCCCATGCAGGCGGGTCTGTGGAGCTGCCCATAAAAGCTTGCCAGAGGAGGGAAGCACCTGTGGGAGGGCTGGGGCCCGGAAAGGGGAGGGGGGTGATAGGCACCAGACACAGGCTGGGGCCAAGGGGCCAGCTGGGGCCCCAAAATAGCAGTACAGACTGTGGCTAGGTACTTTATACAGTGACCATTCCTCATTGGGCAAGGGTCACATCTTTGGCTCAGAAGCTTGGTGGCAGCCAGGGCCAGACTGTGTTTTATCAGACATCCCAGGCTACACAAATCACAGTTGGGGGATCCCCCTCCTCTGTCCCCCAAGACTTGGGTGTCAGCCCCTGCTGTAACATGGCCTCCCACTGCATGCAGCATGCAAGGCAGCTAGAATGTTTTCTTGGCTCTACCACCTGTTCTGGTGAAGCTGGAGAGACCACAGAGAACAAGCTGCTGTAAGGAGGAGGAATGAAAAGGCCCACTCAGAGACAGTCCTATAGGTTGAGTATAGCTGGACCCAGAGCCAGCCCAGGTCTACACCCTGGAGCTGATGCCTGAGGTCTTTAGGGAACAAACTCAAGCTGCTATTGCCCCCAGGCAGAGCTGGAGGGAGGGTCTGGGATTGTGAAGGCATGGGGGTTTCCCAGTCTTTAACTTTGCCTGGAGCTACCACTTGGAGGTGAGCATAAGGTGGGGTGGTGAGGAGGACCTGGGTCCTGGGTCCCTGCCAGCTCCTACAGCTGAGGACAGCCCTCTGGGGATATGCATGGTTGGATAGAGACCTTCAGGTTTCTCAGCCAGCCCATCTTGGCCTCACGATCTCACCAGCAGGATTTTGGAACCTGATTGCTTAGGTTAGAATCCCATCTGGCCACTTTCTGTCCTGTGACCTTGGGTGAGATAAGTTGCTTGCTTTGGTCTCCTTAACTACAAAGGTAGTATCTCCTTCACAGACGGATGGAAGGAAAAAAGAGTTTGTGTGATGGAAGGTTGGTATGTAGGAAGGGTAAGATTTAGTGTCATCATTCACTGACTGTGGCCAATTACTGTTTGATCTTCTGTGAGATAGGAGTGATGACCTTGACTCACAGGGTCAGGTGAATCCGAGGAGCCCTCTTACCAGAAGTAGGGCCACCTGACACCTCTTGCACCTTGTACTTAGCCTCCTAGAATGTGCCTTTCCAAGTCTTTCCTCTGGAGCCTGGCTCTGGCAAGACCCCAGTGCCGGGGGCCTTCCAGTCCCAAAAGGCCTCCTGCCTCACTCTGACCTCAGCTCTGCTTCTGCCTTCTCTGTTCTTTCTCTGTCAGGATGCCTTCTGGAGACTGGACAAGACTGAGAGCAAAATCCCCGCTCGAGTGGTGTTCCAGATCTGGGACAATGACAAGTTCTCCTTCGATGACTTCCTGGGTGAGCTGTGTCTCTAAGTCAGTCCTGTGCTTCATGCTGGTGTGCATCTGTGTGTGCATGCACATGTGTACATGTTTATAGGGAGTTGTGCACGTGTGTGCATGCATGCGCGTACGCCCGCACGCGTGTGTGTGTGTGTGTGTGTGTGTGTGTGAGAGAGAGAGAGAGAGAGAGAGAGTTCTCTGGCACACCTGGGAAGCCAGGCAGAGGGAACAGTCTTACTGTCTTTAGGGAGCCCAGGGCCACTGAGTTCCCAGCACTGAGTGAAGTCTGTAACAGTGGTTAGGGTGGCACTGGGTGGGCCTTCAGCAGTGGTAGCAGTAGCCCTAAGATTTAAGGAAAAGAGGGGAGAACGGCTGAAGTCAGGGCAGGCCTGTATGAACTGCTGCCTGCTGCTGCCCTCACACTGCACCCCTGCCCCAGTCAGTGAGTGAGGGGCAGGCCATTCTCCATCCTTGTTTGCAAGGGACAGACTCCATGAGGAAATCCAGGCTCCAACCTCCGGCCCCCAAGGCAGGGTCCTAGTGGGAAGGGCTGTGCTAGGGTACCAGGAGCGCTGGGTGGAGGGATTAGGGGACTCAGTGCTCTTGCAAGAGAGGAGGAGGAGGAGGGAGATGTGTCATAGGAGTCCACAGGTGAGGCTGTGATGGGAATAAGCCAGCCTTGCCGTGACTGTGAAGCTTAAAAGTCTGGAGGGTGTGGCCTATTGGGCTTCGGAGAGAAGGGCACCGAGCCAGCATAGAGAAGTCAGGCACAAAGGGCAGGTGCTGTGTGGCTCCCTCCACATATGTGCAATGCCCACAAGAGACAGATCCACAGAGGCAGTCAGAACATTTGTGGTGACCAGCATGGTTGGGCAGTGGGGGAATGGCCACGGACCAGTGACAGGTATGCGTTTTGAGGGGAGGGTGATGAGAATGTTCTAGAATTAGGTGGTAGTAATAATTGCAAAATTGAATCTATTAAAAGCCCCTGATTTGTACACTTTAAATGAGCTAAAGTGGTGAACTTTGTTACCTGAGGTTTACTTGGATAACAATGAAAGCTATGGGGCCCGGCGCAGTGGCGCAGTGGTTAAGGTCCTCGCCTTGCACGCCCAGGATCCCATATGGGCGCTGGTTCTATCCCGGCAGCCCCGCTTCCCTTCCAGCTCCCTGCCTGTGGCCTGGGAAGGCAGTCGAGGATGGCCCAAAGCTTTGGGACCCTGCATCTGCGTGGGAGACCCGGAAGAGGCTCCTGGCTTCAGATCGGCGTAGTATCGGCCTTTGCGCTCACTTAGGGAGTGAATCATCGGATGGAAGATCTTCCTCTCTGTATCTTCTCCTCTCTGTATATCCGCCTTTCCAATAAAAAAAATAATAAAAATAAATCTTAAAAAAAAAAAACAACGAAAGCCATGGAAAAAGGTTATCAGAGCCCCTTCTGCTAGTTCTGGTCTGCTGCTCAGGGGCTTGGTGGCCCTGCAAATGGCCTTGGGTGGCCCCTGGCTGCAGAAAAGTGAGGTCTTTGCTGAGCACTAGGACCCTGGCAGGAGATGCTTCTTGTATTTTTAGATTTAATTATTTGAAAGGCAGAGGGATGGGGGTGAGGGTTGGCATTTTCTCTCCACTGGATTACTTTTCAAATGCTGCAAGGGCTGGGACTGGAGTTGACCAAATCCAGGAGCCAAGAACTCCATCTGGGTCTTCCATGTGGGTGGAGGGGCGTGAGTGCTTGGGCCATCTCTTGCTGCTTTTCCGGGTAATGTCTTGGGGAGCAGCTTGCAGGGGTGGAGGGAAGGACTGCCTGTCTGCTTGAGTGCTTTTCCTGCCCCTCCAGTGCTGTCTGTGCTTCTGACCTGGCCATTGGGCACACACAGAAGTCTAAGAGCTGCTCTAGGGCTTTGAGTGTGTAAAAATGGTGGTACCAAACTTGATGTTTGTTTCTTATTCTGTACATAATTCTTGCAGAAAAACTAGAAAACACAAGTGAACAAGAATCTCACCACTAACATTTTGGCATATATATCTCAGATATGTGAAAGCATGCTTGTGTTATATATATGTAAATTGCATGCACACAGGTACTCATTGACTTGCAGTGGGATCGTATCCTGATATGCCCATTGTGAATTAAAAAGGAATGTAATACCCATAACAATGAGCCTGTTACCTTAGCATAGCCTCCCTTAAACATGCCCAGAACACTCAGGTTACAGTCACCCAACACAAAGCCCAGGACATGTATAATGGAGTGTTCAGTAGTTCTTGCAGTGTATTGAGTATTTTGCATCCAGAAAGCACCGGCCACACAGCTCACAACACAACATCATGTGCTTACTCTCATGGTTGTGTGCCTGCCTATGAGCCGAGGCTTACTGCTGCTGTCCGGCAAGAGTGTTTTGTACTTCATATTGCTAGCCCAGAAATAGAGCAGCATTCAAAACTGAAAGCATCATTTTGATTATATGCCAGTGGCTTTCACACCATCATCCTAAGTAGACCACCCTAGGTAGGGACCATCAGATGTATATGCACAAGGAGATTTCAAGTTAAAAGAAAAATGAAATGAATTAAAATGTAACAATAAAGAGCTGAATGTTATTTCCTGACGTAAGCTCCTTCAAGCTCAATGTGCTTTTGTAAGTGGTGATACCAGTCCATGCCTGAAAGACTGCCAGTCCTGGGAAACTAATGTGCCAGTGCAAAGTGAGTGCCCTTTAAAGATTTTTTTTTTTTAAGATTAGAAAGCAAGAAGAAGTCAGAAGGAGCCAAGTCAGGACTGTAAGGTGGATGCCCAATGATTTCCCATTTCAGTGCCCACGCAATTCCCCTTGCTTTATGAGTGAAATGAACAGGAGTGTTGCTGGGTGCAGAAGGAAGCTTTGCTTCATGGCAAAACTTTTCCAGGTGTCTCTCTCTTGAAGCTGTGGCTAAGTCTGCAAAACACCCTCCTCACAAGCAGGTGCTACCACTATTCAGAGCTCTGGAAAGTCAGCAAGCAAAATACCTTGAGCATCTGAAAAAAATCTGGTGCCGTGATTTTTGCAGTGGCCTAGTCTGCTTTGGCTGTGACCTCTTGGTAGCCGTTGCTTTGAGTGTGCTTCACCTGCAGCATTGTACCAGGAAAACCACGTTTGGTCTGTGTTAGGATTCGTCTAAGACGTGCTTCCAGTGCTTGTTGAAAATTTCTATTGAGGGCCCTGCGGCGTGGCCTAGCAGCTAAAGTCCTCACCTTGAACACGCCAGGATCCCATATGGGTGCCAGTTCTAATCCCGGCAGCTCCACTTCCCATCCAGCTCCCTGCCTGTGGCCTGGGAAAGCAGTCAAGGATGGCACAAAGCCTTGGGACCCTGTGGGATACCCGGAAGAAGTTCCTGGATCCTGGCTTCGGATCGGCGTAGCATCAACCATTGTACTCTCTTGGGGAGTGAATCATTGGACGGAAGATCTTCCTCTCTGTCTCTCCTCCTCTCTGTATATCTGCCTTTCCAATAAATAAATAAATCTTAAAAAAAATAAATTTTCTGTTGAAAATGCTACTTGAGTCTGCAGCTGACCTGGTGTAGCAGTTTGGCACTTGTTGAGTAGAAAGTGTGCTGCACTGTCATTTCCCCATCAGAACTGTGTAAGCTGAACGGATCGAGACATCTCTGCTGCTGATTATTGCTTCTGCTATTGACTGGTATCCTCCTCAATTAGGGCACACAGAAAATCGGTTATTCTGCATGGAATAGCCTCGAGTAGGTTATTTCTGCTGGTGGCTTTGGGGTGCTGTCCTTGAACTTCTGGTTGAGCATCATTGGCTGCACCCCAGCTTTGCTCTTTCACCCCAGCTTTGCTCTCAGTGCAGTGTTTCTTCTTCACTTGTGGCAGAGTTCATGTTGCATCCACAGGGGCTCTTTTCAAACTCATATCTTTCTTAGCACCTTGAGTGAAATCCTACTTAGACAAGCCATAACAAGTCAGTACAAGTTTCTTTTGGTGCAGAAAGCTGTGAAATCCATGCATTAAGGTTTCCTAGTATGCATTTCTCATAAACTTTTTTTAAAGAGTTATTTTTATTATTTTTTTTATTGGAAAGGCGGATATACAGAGAGGAGAGACAGAGAGGAAGATCTTGCGTCCAATGATTCACTCCCCAAGTGAGCGCAACGGGCCGATACTATGCCAATCCGAAGCCAGGAGCCTCTTCCGGGTCTCCCACGCGGGTGCAGGGTCCCAAAGCTTTGGGCCGTCGTCGACTGCCTTCCCAGGCCACAGGCAGGGAGCTGGAAGGGAAGCGGGGCTGCCGGGATAGAACCAGCGCCCATATGGGATCCCGGGAGTGCAAGGTGAGGACCTTAACCACTGCGCCTCTGCGCCGGGCCCTCTCGTAAACTTTTGAGGATCTCCTCACACACATAGACAGGACATATATACACACGACATACACATGTGAGGCATACATACAGGTGACACATACATATACATATATCCAAGTACTTCAAAAAGTATATGGGAAAATAAAATTGAGCAATGTTTATTTTGGTACCAAAGGTAAATTCTTACATTATTTTTCCAAAATGCATACTTTCTGTGATCTTTTGGAAGACTTCTTGTATGCCTGGATGTCAACATTTGTGCACAAAAAAAAAAAAAAAAACCCAAAAAACTTGTCTTTTAACTCCCCTTACAAATAGTTTACTACTACACATAGAATTGTTAATCTTGATTTTCCTGGAAGTTTAACATTTCCAGAACTTTCTTGCTGATCTGTATTTGTATTGGTGTCACCACATTTGGTGCTTGCTTTGCTTAAGTTGAGCTGATAGGTATTTGGATCATTTTCAGGTTTTCAGTATGAGTGACTTCCCTGGGAATATATCCTTGGAACCTTTGAGAAATATCTTTCCTTGACTCTAAGAATCAGGTTTGTTGGCTACTGTGCATTTCAATGCTTTGAAAATTATTTTACTCAGTTGCTCTCAAGGAAAGTGTTGCTTATTTGTATACTTCCACTCATGACCTTTTTGTGCAGGAGCCATTTCCCAAAGCAATCACTGTTATGTTACATATATTTAAACATTTCTACTAAAATATTTTATTTTTTTAAAGTTTTATTTATTTTATTGGGAAAGCAGAGTTCCACAGAGAAGAGAGTCAGAGAGAGAGAGAGAGAGATCCTCCACCTGCTGGTTCACTTCCCCAAAAATTGCAATTGCTGGAGCTGAGCTCTAATCCAAACATAGGAGCCAGGAACTTTCTTGGGATTTCCCATGTGCAGGGATCCCAGACTTGGGCCAACTTTCATTACTTTCCCAGGCTATAAACTGGGAATTGGATGAGCTGGCACTCATATGGGATACCAGTGCTGTAGGCAGAGACTTAACCCGATACCACCATGTCAACCCCAAAATTTTATTCTTACTTGCATTTCTTTATTAGTTGAAAAGCAGAATTTAAAAAATATTTATTGTCTGTTTTATTGGTATGATTTTTTTTCATAGTTTTGGGAATGATAGTTTTTTGTTGTTTTTGGAGAGGACTTTAATATATTCAGACTATATTAGAAATAATTTATCTTATTTTAAAAAAATTTTTTTCAGCATCTTTTTGTTTGTAGACTTGAACGCTGTATCTGTCAGTCTCTCTATGATTGGGCTTTAGTAAGCAAGTTTTAAAAAGAAAAACCAGAGTCAGCTGTTTGGCCCGGAGGTTAAGACACTGTTTAAGATACTCACATTTCATGTCGGATCAATGCTTGTTATCTGCTTTAGAAAATAAAGAATCATGTGGATAGGAGACTGGATAGATGACAGCTGATAGAGAGCTGGGTAAATAGATGGGAAGATGGGTGGGTAGGTATAGTGCTCAATAGGTGGAGAACAGTAGCTGTTTAGGATGAAGTAGATGTATGGATGGAAGGACAGAAGGATAAGTGGGAGATGAGGAAGGAAAAAGCAAAGTTAGAAAAACTAGATTTGATGCTCAGAGTAATTGAGCACTTCATGCTGAAAGCATCTAATCTCTGCCATGGCACTTAAGAACTTCCTTCATTTGGCCTCAGAAAACAGTTTCTGAATTTGATCATGTTTTTGTGATTAGATTAGGTGAAAGTGCATCCAATTGCTACATTTTGGTGGGGGGAGGTCAAAGATGATTGAATATCAACTTTTTCATGTTGTTCAGTCTGATAGCTGAAGATGTGGACAAAATGAATGAGTAGATGAAATGGTACAAAAAGATATCCAGCTGGGTTACCAGGATGGAAAGGGTTGTAGGATAGATCACAATGGGCTATCACTTTGCATGTGGTTGGATGGTGGCAGTCACAGCAGGAATAGGAAGTGAGTGCTGGTGAGGATGTAGAGCAACTGAAGCCCTTGTGTGATGCTGGTGTGACTAGAAAATGAAGCACCAGTGGCGGAAATCACTTTGATGATTCCTTGAAAGGTAAAACGGAGAATCACCAGAAAACCCAGCAATTCTACTCATGGGTAATACCTGAATAAGCTGAAAACAGCAACACAGGTACTTGCACTCTTATGTTCTTTGAAGGGTTATTCACAATGGCCAAGAGGTAGAAAGCACCAAAGTGTCCTTTAACACCTGAATGTATAAATAGGATGTAGCATAGGCATTGTGGAGTGTTATTCCACCATGGAAAAGGTTGAAGGGTTTATATCTACTACAGCATGGATGAACCTGGAAAACATGCTTAGAAAATAAGACGGAAAGACAGCCCAGATATGATCCCACTTGGATGAAATATTCTGAGTGGGCAAGATGACAGAGGCAGTAGACTAGAGCTTAGTAGGGGCTGAGGGAATAAGGAGTCACTACTTAGTGGGTATGGAGGAGTTTTGTGTCTAAGGAATGAGAAAGTCTTATGGCTATAATTAATGACATGACAGGTATTAGGTTGTAAGCATTCTACTACAATAAAAATACTTATAAACAACCAGTGGATGAATGGATATAGTTAATGGGTATACAGTGGACTTGTCCCAAGCAGGATGCATGATGGAAGTTGAGGTGGCTTTGTTTAGGCTGACTGGGTATGAATATGAGTGGATGGTTGGGAATCTGTGGTGTGGGTGGGCTGAGATGGAGAGTTTGTGATTGTGACCCATGAGTGAATCCTGGCCAGGAGCTGAGCAGGTGGCCATGAACCTGCCCTACAGCAAGGTAGCCCAGGCTGCCAGTGATGGGGAACCCCTCTGCTAGAAACGGCCTTTGTGTTCCAGGTGCCTTGCAGTTGGACCTCCACCGCATGCCCAGGCCAGCCAGGACAGCTGAGAAGTGCTCCTTGGACCAGCTGGATGAGGTCTTCCACCCAGAGCGCTTTGTATCTCTCTTTGAGCAGAAGACAGCAAAGGGCTGGTGGCCCTGTGTGGCCGAAGAGGGCGATAAGAAGATCTTGGCGGTGAGTGTACTTCCTCCACCCCGTGATATGGGTGGGAGCTGCTTCCACACCCTGCACATGCAGGCTTCCTGCCCTGCCCCTACCTGCTCTGTTGCCCAGGACAGTCACCATCTTTCCTTCTGGTTGCCACTTATCCTCTCCCCTTGAAGCTCCTATCCCAGGAGGCGTCTTTTAGCTGCAGCGCCACCTGTTCATACCATCATTGTGGCCTGATGGCTTCATGCCTGGGCTTCCTTCATGCTTCTCCCCTTCAAGGGACCATCCTGGATGGACTGGTTTTGCAGGCAGCCCTCCTTGGGAGGGACACTGGGTGGCAAGGGAGAGCCATCCTTTGCCTGCGTCCAGCCCCAGACACAAAGTTTATTCCTGACCATTTACTTGGGAAGAGCAGGCGGCTGGCCAACTGCTCAAGTGGCCCTTGAACTGCAGTAGCCTTGTTATGTGAGAAATGTAACCACTGTCAAGAAATAGCCATGCTTCAAAGGAAAAGCGAGCGAAGGATGCACACAGATAATTCACGGAAGTGGAACAGTCATCCATTCAACAGGAAAAGCAGCTTAGTCCTCTTGTTATTAAATACGGCACTGTTTTGAAATGCAATGTTTGTGTCTATTGAGGTTTTAGAAGTGGAAGTACTCGCTGGTGGTGAGACTGCCAAGGGACAGAGCCCGTTTGCTTCTGCTGGGCGTACTGCTGATTGTAGCATGGGCGGGGAGCAGGCTGATGATAATGCCTGGGAATAGACTGAATGATACTTATGCCTTCTGTTCTCTAGCTCCGCTTCTAAAACCCTATAAGAGATGATTGGGTGAAATTAGACATTCACTTCTGGAGTGTTTGCGGCAGCCTTATTGGCAGTATCAAAGAGTTGAAAATAACTTCCATGGACTAAAAATAAGTGGTTTACTACGTAAATTATGGCTACACATCTATGGCATATTTTATAGTTATTGAAAGCTAAACTTTAAAGAATGTATGATTATGTAGCTAATTGATTCATAAGCTGTAGAGGTGTGTACACACATACATATGCATACAAACACACATACATACACGCATACATGCACACACTTATACACAGCGCCACCTTATAGGCCTACAGAAACATACAGTAGCAATAGTAGTGGAAGTATTGGTGGTGTTCATTCTTTGTATATCTCTATAAGGTTCCCAAATATCTTACAAGAACAACCCTTTGTTTTAAAGATAATGATGATGATGATAAAAGTGTCATGTCATTTTGCTTGTCCTGGCCTTGCCTGCTCCAGGCTGTAGAATAATGACATGCCCCTGACTGGGCTCTCTTGCTGTCCCCTCAGGGCAAGCTGGAAATGACCCTGGAGATTGTAGCAGAGAGTGAGCATGAGGAACGGCCAGCTGGCCAGGGTCGGGATGAGCCCAACATGAACCCGAAGCTCGAAGACCCAAGGTCAGTGCCCAGCCCCTGACTCCCAATGCCCACACAGCTCAGGGGCCAGCCGCACAGAGCATGAGGGGACACTCGGGTAACAGGCTCACTGCTGAGAACCCCAAGCTGACTGGGGGAAGCAGGCACTGTGGGGTGTTGGTGAGTCGGGAGCTAAGCATGCTGTCACTGGGCCTGTCCCCGTGGTGCTGTGGACCCTTCCTGCTGTGCAGTGTGTGGTGGCTAAGGGGCATTTTGCAGATGAACAGAGCACCTCAGCCAAGCTCAGTGGGATCATCCCAACCGGGAAGGTGATGAAGCCAAGATGTGCTGGCTCCACAGCTGTATCCTTGCTGTGCTGCCGTTTTTACGGGGCAGTGTCCTGATGGGCCTCTTAGCCGTGCAGTGGGCAGACTGTCTCCTGTCTTCCCAATGTCATGCACCACTTGAGGAGTGTGGCATGAGGTGGCTGTGGGGTTAGGCTCCTTGCTGAGAGTCTCCCTGCTACCTGCTTGGTTCTGGCTGGGGCTGACATGGGCAGTTCCCCTTTACCACAGTGTTCTCCAACCCCTGGCATGGCCCTTGGGGTAGTTGGGAGCTGGGTAGAGAGACCCAGGGAGTGCAGTCCGATTAACACAGCCATGGCTGAGAATCAAAATCCTCCTCTTACTCTGAGCTGCGGGGCTGCTTAGGAGAGGGCTTTGAGGTTCTTGGTTGTGAGGGAGAGAATTAGTTCTCTGGACACTCTTGACATTGGCCTTCCCTAAGCATGGGGTGACTGTGTGCAGCAGGGCAGGTGGCTTGGCTTTCCGGGGACTCAGTGGGCCAATGTGAATTTCAGGCAGCAGCTGTTTGAGACTGCCCAGTTTGAGAGTCAGTGGTCTGTGATTAAATCCTGGGTCAGGAGGAAAGGGGGTGGGTGACAGGGAAAGGATGGTTGAGAACTGGGCCCCCAGAGCAAGTACAGCCTGGTAGTGCCTGAAACTTGGGGCCCACAGGATGTGGATGTGGGAGGGTACGAGGCTGTGAAGGCCTGAGGTTAGGGACAAGGAGGTCTCCCTGGGCTGGTAGACAGACTGCAGGGCCTGGGGTAGTAGCTGTGCAGTTGGGAGTGCTAACAGCGGGATTTGGAGATAGCATCCTGTGTCAAGGGTGTCTTGCTGACCTTGGGCTCCACCTTCCAGGCGTCCTGACACCTCCTTCCTGTGGTTCACCTCCCCGTACAAGACGATGAAATTCATCCTGTGGCGGCGCTACCGATGTGCCATCATCTTCTTCATCATCCTCTTCATCCTGCTGCTGTTTCTGGGCATTTTTGTCTATGCCTTCCCGGTGAGCAGTCTGATGGGGGAGGCACACATACCTCTGGGTCTAATGGGGGTGTTCACCTAGCCCTGCAGAGGGGTCCCCAGTGTCCTGATGAAGGACACACAGCCCTTGCTAAGCTGGGCAGACATGGACCCACCTGTTGGGAGCTCTTAGCTCAGCAGGGCAAACTGAGTGCTTGTGCTTGGTAGGGAGATGTCACCGTGGTAAACAAGGTTCTCAAATTTGTAATGGAGGGGATAAAGAGGATGAACCCCCCTGGATTGTGGTGGGCAGGGTAACCTTCCTGAAGGGGGTGACAGTGTGGCCCTGGCATAGGAGGAGAGGCTGAGATGTGAGTGGCAGAGTAGAGAATTCCCCTCAGACTTGAAGGCAGCAACGCTTAGTCCCAGGATGGGAGGAGCTAGAGCTGGAGAGGGTCTCCCCAGGATATAAGAGGGTACTGCCCCTGCAGAGGAAAGGTATAGGAGATGTGGCTGAGCTGGGGGCTGGCCCAGGATCTCAGTTGAGGCATCCTCTTCCTGATAAGCAGCCAGCTGGCACCTGGGAGCTGATGAGAGGGCCCAGAGCTCTGTTCTCAGCCTGTCCTGCTCTGGCTTTCACAGCTTCTCAGGGACCCCCACACAAGCTCCAGCCCCCTGATGTCGTTAGCCCTTCAGACCCTGAAGGAATTGAAGTGTTTTCAGGCTGACACCTGATTTTTTAAAAAATGTTCTTTAAAATGTTCTTAAACTTTTTAATATGGAAATTCCAAACTCATAAAAGTAGAGAGAGAGGGAAGTCTCTCCTTGGCCTCATTTTCATGGCAGACAACTTCCACAGACAGCTCCTGGTTCAGGGCTTGCTGCGATTCCCACACAGGGCCCTTGGCCTGGGCAGTGTCCCCGCAGCAGGCAGGCTTGTAGGGAATTACTCATAGGTGAGCTCCTGGCCCTCAGATCCTCCAGGAGATAGAGAGGGATGGAGATAGCTTCTCCCACCAAGAGCTGTCAGCAGGCCAGGCCAGGTGGCAATGGAGTCAGCTCGCAGAGGGGAGAGGTTAAACCACAAACCACCCCTGCAGGGACTGGCCTCATCTGCCAGGAGGAGTACTGGAGTTGCTGTGGCTGCCTATAGCAAAAGGGAAGGTCTAGAACTAGGAGAGTTTATGGGTACAGCTGCAGGCCAGGCCCTGGAGATTGCCTATGGCTGCCCATGGTGCCATGTGGAGGTGTGTCTTGAGACTTTAGCAAGAAGAGTTAACAGTTGATGGACAAAACCTGGCTGGGGTCCAGGGTAGTTCTTGGGTGGTAGGGACTTGATGTTTATATGGTTTTAGGGGCCTCATTAAACAAAGGCAGGTGCTATTGCAAAGGCAAGATTAGAGACAGGAGCATGGAAGGAGGGCGTGTGCAGCTGTGCTGTTCTGGTGCTTTTGCTTCTGCCAGGGTCGCCTGGAATCTGAGGTCAGCCAGGTGTTTCCACCCATGAGGCATGGCTAGACTGCTGAGCTGGGGGAGATGCGGTCCTCTTTCCTACCTGCCTCAGTTTACCTCCACTCCTTGGGAGTGTCCTCAGCTGCCATACAGCTAGCAGGAGGCAAGGGGCTGCTGTGAGCCTGAGGGAGGAGGTAAGGCAGCTTGTTTGAGAGGCAGCCACGGTGTGCAGCCAGACGTTCCTGTGGAGCCATACAGATACACAGGGGCGGCTGGTGCAGACCAGCTCGTACCCCCCATGTCACAGGGAGTTAACCAGACTCACAGAGTCCTGGGCTGGTCCTGGGTTGGCTGAAGGATGAGCTGCGTTGGGGCAGAATGAGGCTGGAGAAGTCCTGGTGACTTGGGCAAGGTGCTCTGCACTTTGAGTCCCAAGCGCTGGCTCTGCCTCTGGGACCTGGGTCCCTCCCTGCCATGACTCTGACCTCTGTGGCTGGCAGCGACAAGGAAGAGGGGGGTGTCCCTTACCTTTCCCAGGGCCCTGTGGGCAGGAGCAAATAAATGCTTGGTGCGGGAGAGACCCTGGTCAGAGCTGCCCTCCCTTGTCTCCTGAGCCTCCAGCACTTGGGCATGCGGTCTCCTTAAAGCACCTTGCAAAATGTCTTCTGTTAAACACTGACTGTGCCCTGCCTCTTCTAGAGCTGGCCTGGGGCAGGGGTCAGGGACAGTCCTGGGTGGAGGGTGTAGCCTGGGACTGCCTGCTTCCTTGCACCCAAGTCCCTCAGTCATCTGGCCTGTGCCTACCTCTACAAGGTGACCCTCACTTGGCTTTCAGTGATCCCAGGGCCTGGGGGAAAGAGCCAGGTTGGGGCTGTTCCTTCTGCAGCTGGTCCAATCCCACAGCCTCTTGGAAATTCTCTTGGGAGGAGGTGGCAGTGGGGGGTGACAGCCTGTGTGATCAGAGCCAGCTGGAAGCAGGACCAGCATGTGGAGGCGGGAGGCGGTCTGGCAGGGATGATGGAGGGCAGGCTTTGTTTCCAGCGCTGACTTTCCTGGGCAGCAGCAGTGCTGGGGAACATGCCGTCCCAATTAGAGTCCCGTGCTATGTGTGCTTAGGGAGCACTTCAGAGGGAGGCCCTGGACAGCCCTGTGGCAGGCCTGAGTTGTAAGTCTCCTTGCCTCCACTGTGCACCCCAACTCTCCTTGCTCCTGAGGCAGGAGCATGATGAACAACGAGCTGTAGGTCTCCATGTAGGTGAGTGTGTATGGGAGGGAGTGAGGGCCTGCCTTCACACCTGTCAGATGGAGGAGGCCAGAGCAGGGCTCCCTCTGGCTGGGCCTTGGGTGTTCTGAGTTTCTGTGGACCCCTAGGCTAGAGCTTGGGAGTGAGTCCTGGACAGATGGGAGGGAAAGACGGCAGTTCAGGGAGTGTGGGCTCACAGGTGAAAAGACCCAGTGAGTTTCAGGCAAGCAGAGGTTGACTTGACTGGCGACAATCCCAGGTGGGGTTGGGTGTTGAGCTGAACTTTGTTTGGGAAGGTTGGCAGCAAGGGCCAGGTACACACAGATGTCAGGACTAATAGCTAGGGGCCTGTTTTCCCGGCCCTTCTCAGGCCACCCCTGGTACTTGCCTCTTGGGGTCACCATGTGTCCCTTCCCCCTCTGTCCACCCATCCCCCAGAACTATGCTGCCATGAAGCTGGTGAAACCCTTCAGCTGAGAGCACTCCTGGCCCTGTGCTGCTGAGTTCCTGCAGCTCTCCGAGACCAGCCATCCTGCCAAAGTGGGCAACACAGAAGGACAGACGCATGCTCCAAGAGTGGCTAACATCGAGCCTGGTGGATGGTCACCCCCTTTCATCATCTCTTTCTCCTCCAACTCCCACCCCCCCTTTTTGGATGAGCACGCATATATTTCAGTACAAAACAGATGGAACTTTGAGGCAGTGTGGCCGTGTCACTCTCCTATACCTGCCTGGTGATAACTATAGGGGAAAATGGGGTAGGTGCTATCTCTGGCCCACTCTTTGGAGGAGCCAGAGGGTGGGGGCCTGAGGGGGCTGTTTCTTTGATAGCAAGATGAACTGGGGGTCAAGAGGCTACATGGACTTTGAGGCTGACATCTTCTGCCTTTTCCCCAGGACCTCGTACTTGTCCCCTCCTTACTCCTTGGGTATGTCCTCTTCCTTTCCTAGGCTCTCTTTCTCAGATGGGCAGTCAATCACCTGTGCCTCCAGGTGTCTTTGCCCCTGCTGGAGGCAGAGGTTCTATTTCATCAAGATGGAGCCCCAAGGAAAGGGCTAGGCTGGGAAACTCTCTAGGCATGGAGGGCTGCTGGGCCCTTGGCTTTGATTTTATTTCCCATACTTTTGGGGTTTCTTTAGGATTCTTTCTTTCTGCCTTAAAGATCTGGTCTGGACAAAGCTGTTTTTTTTATCTGTGACTTAAGCTTAGCCTTAGCTGCCGCCCAACTTTCCCTGCAGGAAACAGGTTTAACGGACAGTAGGAATATCCCTGGAGAGAAAGCAAAGAGCTTGGCAACAGTGGATTCCTAAAAGGAGGCCCTTGTCACCGCCCCACAGGGGCTGGGTTGCTGGCCACTGCCTCCCCTGTTGTCCAGGAGACTTGCCCTGATATCTGCTGGCAGCCTGTTCCCTGACCAAGCCTCCAAGCCCTCCAAGAAGGACCCTACAGACCCCGCCTTGGCTCACCATACCAGTTGGCAGCTATAGGAAGTAGTTGAGACAGGGGTGATGTCTTATGTCCACCCTGAGGATGGAGCTGCACCTGGAAAGCACTGATCCTTTTTTTTTTCTTTTTGAAGATTTATTTATTTTTATTGGAAAGTCAGATTTAGAGAGAGAAGAGGATACAGAAATATTTTCAATCCAATGATTCACTCCCCCAAGTGGCTGCAACAGCCGGTGCTGAGCCAATCTGAACCAGGAGCTTCTTCCAGGTCCCCTATGTGGGTGCAGGGTCCCAAGGCTCTGGGCCATCCTTGACTGCTTTTCCAAGCCACAAGCAGGGAGCTAGATGGGAAGTAGAACAGCTGGGATACAAACTGGCTCCCATATAGGATTCATGGGCATGCAAGGTGAGGATATAGACAGTAGGCTACCGATCCAGGTCCTAGCACTGATTCTTATTCAGACTGGAGGCGACTGTGAGCCCTGGGGAGCCTATGGCACTGGTCCTGACACCCCAATATCTGACAGCTGGAACCAGAGGGCCACAAAGCACACAGTAGGGACCTGGCTACAATACTGTCCTGGGCAGTCTCTCTGGGGATAAGCCTCCTTCGAGTAGCACCTGTATGGAGGCAAAGAGGCAAATGGGTATTGAAGGCTGGAGGGAGAGAGAGAACAGCTGGAGCTGCAGCTACAGGAGGTACCAAGAGCTGCTCAGGAGAGAGGGCACCTGAGAATATCTGAGAGTAGGGAAGAGGCAACTACCAGGTAGAGTGGTCCCCAGGGCATGAGGGAACTAATGGGACCTCTTCAGGAGTGTGTGCCCCTTACAGAAAGTTCAGTTTTCCTCTCTAGGCACAGGAGGAAAGAACAAAGAAATGCACTCAGCACACCATCAGTTTCCCAAAAATGGGATGGGTGTGTCATTGTGCTCTGTTTTTTTTTTTTAATTTCCCCTTTTTGGATTCCCTTTGGGATACAGGCCATAGAAAACTCCATTCATACTAGTACAGATAATTTAGTGGCTTTTCAGAAAAGAAGCATCAAGGAGGACTGGCTTCAGGCAAGGGCTGAAGTTCCCCAGCCAGATCATGAAGGGCTTGCATGCTATCTCTGCCCTGTTCAGTCCAACAGTGATTCTATCCATAGAGCTAGACTTAAAGCTGTTTCCTGGGACTGTGTGGGTGACCAAGCAAAACTTGGGGAGGAATGGGAACAGCAGTCCCAGCAAGTGTGATCTAAGATATTCCATGTGGAGGGCCCAGAGCAGGCTCTGAGGATGCAGTGGTGAGTTCTGTAAGACCCTGGTCTTCCATTCCTCACAGTGAAGTAAGGCAAGGGTCCCCCAATGGCGGTGTCTGAGAAGGGGTACCCACCACCCTGGTAGGGAGATTAGGAGGCTCTTGGAAGAAAGGAGCATTTGAGCGAAGCATTGGACTGGCCGGTGGCCACAGGCTGGATATTCCCAGCAGCAGGAATGAAAGTGGAGCTCAGCTAGCACAGGGCATGGTCAAGAGAGAATGGGACTAGAGGAGCCAACACAAGAAGCATTGAGGGAGGAGGGGCTGGAAGGTAAGGCCAGGTCCTGAGCATGCAGCTGAGGAGCTGCAAGCTGGGGGCAATGAAGATGTGCAGAAGGAGCCAAAGTGAGCTTGGTCAGAGTCATGCTGCTTCAGAAGCCTTTCTGCTCTCATCTTGGAAGATGGGAGTACTCCTAAGAGCTTATAAATAATCATTTTGGCAAACTACCTTCAATGGACTGAGACCTCCCCAACCCTTCCATGCTCTTAATGATCTGCAGTCACCAGCAGTCAAAGACGATTGCTCAGGAGGCTGTGTAACCATCTGCATGGGGGGCCCATCCTGGAAGAACAGTCTACTAATCCAGGAGCCAAATGGGAAGATTTGGAAGAAATATGTGTGTATAGTTCTATAGGTGAGTATGTGTGTCTACGCTTGCGTTTCTCAGGCCCTCACCTTTCTCCTTCCCTGCCTGTGAGTAAACCAATCATGGTGAGGCTGTTACCTGTGCCAGTGCCTACATTTGAAGGTGTCTGGTGACTGACTGGCTGATGGTCAAGGAGAGGTTGATGGTGGTGGTGTTATGATTACATTGAGGGGTGGCGGGGTGGAATCTGGGGAACTTCTAGGAAAGTCTTCTCCCCTCTGCAAAAGGATGGATGCACACATGCACATCTCCTGGCCCTTTGATGTTGTTGTACAGAGATGCAATGACTGGAGCTATGGCTGCTGTCTTGTGATTCAGGTCAGAGAGGGGGATAGGGAGCAGGGTGCTGTGGAAGAAACCAACACACATAGGGCACCAGAGCAGATGAGCATGACCTGATTCCTGGTGAGACTGGAGGAAGAACCAGTCCTGACACTGGCCTTGCACAGGTTTCTTGCCGGTGAAACTACCTTGGGATGCCTGCAGTGCAAGGCACCTGGGGGTGCAATTCCTTCTCCCCCTCCCTGCCCCTACCAGCTGCTTTTACTACGATTGCTGGGACCCCGGGCTGCCATGTGCAGTCGCCACATCTGACACAGTGGACGTTTATTATTTATTATAACAATTTTCCCACAGATGGCAGTAAAGTGTTCTAATAAAATCAGTGTGTGTGAGTCATTTTCTGATAGAAGAAAATTACCTTGAGGAAGGGGCACCTTTTTCCAATTCCCACAAGGGCACCCACTCGCCCAGGCTGTGCAGTGTGGAGCAGCTGACAGTACCAGTGGGCCCCGCTCCCTGCTCCACTTTCTGTCCTACTCCAGGCACCCAGGTGGCCCGGTTTTCTTTCTCTCCTTGGCCAGGTCTTGGGCCTCCCTCTAGTGGTCTAGTGTTTCTGGGGCTTTTTGGCCCTGCTCCTCTCATACTACAGACCTCCGAGGCAGCCACAGTTGTTCCTGTGGCTTTATGTGCTTTTTTGGTGCTTTTTTGTGCTTGGAATTGCAGCCTGGGTTGTGGATGCATTCTCAACTGTTGCCCAGCTGAGCATGACCCCTGACTGATTCAGCCCCGGACTTAGACGTGCTCACTAGGAAGCCCTCTTGTTGATGGGCCCACTGCCTCCCCTCCAGATCCCAAACATCACCAAACTCCACTGGTTCTGCATCTGGAATCCCTGAGCCTGCAACTTCATGTCCTGTTACCACCACCTCTACTTGCCATGGGACTCCCAGCAGGCCAACACCAAGGAAACCCAAGAGCCATTGCCTTTAACCCTCTAGTTCTCTAATCTTGCAAATCCATTCTGATGGTTCCTATCACCCTCGAGACTTAGGAGGAGGGATAAGTACACTGGCACAGAGGCCTGGCTGGGCTCAGTTCCTGCCTTTGTCTGCCTCATTCCTCCTGGAGCCCCCTCAAGCCTGCTGTGGGCCCTCTGCAGAGCTCAATGCTGCCTCTCCCACAGTATTCTGTGTCTGCAGAGTCACATCTCCCAGCTTAACCAGTTGAGTTGGAGTCTTTTGCTTCCTCCTTTGAAGGGACTATGAGTGTTCCACTGCAAGTTTTTTCTACATAGACGGGCCCTTGAAGCCATTTCAGATGGTATTTTATGTCTCCAAATCCAGAAGGTTCTCAATATTTGAAACCAGTTCTGGCCACGAGGTGAGGAATAAAGCTCATTTGTTGAAAAATGGTTTGGTAGCACTGGATGAGCCTCATGTATCCAGAGTACTGGTTTCCTGCCTTCATTTTCTCTGCTGGTGTGTCTGGGAGAGGGTCCTACACACACATCACACCCACATATCTGGAAATAGACATGTGTACAAGTATATATATACACACAGATACAGATACGCAAAAAAGATGGAATTAAAAGGTAATGAGCATTTTCCATGAACTTTTTGGAGAACTTGATTATGCATACATCTGTAGAAACACACACAAAAATGTTTGCAAACCCAGGTGTAAACACATGCAGTATATACAAACTTATGTAGCACACATATGTATTCAGATACATACATACAGAAACATACAGTTATACAAGGGAACTTTAAAAAGCTCATGGAAAGATGGGATTGAAGGGGTATGTGTTTCCCATGAACTTTTGAAGTTCTTTTGGGTGTACACATCTGTCCAAACACACACACACACACACTCCATTTTCTGTCCCTTTCCAGGGTTACATGGACAGCCTGGGACAAGGTGACAGGGAAGTCACACGGACACAAGTGGGTTGTGAGTGCTTCCCAGGCTGACTGCCCCCATCCATCCTTAGGGAATTCAGACCTGC